CTTTGGATTTGACTTCAATGTTCAGTGATTTTTTTTTGAGTCAGTGATTTTTATTGCCCTAACTATTTGAAGGAGGTATAATTATTTAACCTTGGGATATATCCATACAATACGTAAAATAAAAAATTAAATAACCAGTTTAAATCCTAGCATTAGGTCAAGGTCGGGGCTTTTAAAATTACAATTTTTCCACCATTTTATGGAGGGTATATTAGCTTTCTGTCATTCCGTTTGTAACTCCTCGAAATATTCATAATAGACCCTACAAAGTATATATATTCTGGATCAGCGTAAAACTCTAAGGCGATCGTCCAAGTGGTGGAGGTTAGTAAAGTTCGACCTGACCGAACTAAGCTAGCTGATTTTTTTCTTGTTTTTAATAGTTTTCCAAGAATTCAGATCTGAAGTAGTATGAATCGTCTTTCTCGTACAGGGTAGAATCTGCTCGATTTTGAATGAATTTTGGTTCCACTGAAAAACGAAAACAATACAGGGTGAGGTAAAAAAATGCAACAAAGTCAAACGACATAATTTTTACATTTTTTTTTTTAAATTTTATTAAATGAACGCCGGAAATAGCATCAAATTTTAGAATTACTTTGGATTTCTTCGAATTGGTCACCTTTGGCACGAATTATAGCCTTCAAACGGCCAATGAAACCGTCACACACTGCCCGAATGTTGCTCTGCGGTATTTTGGCCAATTCCCGGCTAAGCGTTTGCTTGAGGTGATCGACACTTTGGTATTTTTTAATGCCAACATTGCTTTCCAAAATACTCCAGGCACAATATTCCAACGGATTGGTATCCGAAGATTTTGGTGCGCTGGAAATGAAGCTAGGAACCTAATTTTGTAATCATTCTTGTGTGGCGCGTGCTGAATGCGATGGTGCTCAGTCCTGTTGGAATGTCGAAGGTCTGCGGCCAAAATGTTTGCGTGTCCAAGGCTTTAATACATCCTCCAGGATATTTTCGCGAAAGTATTCTGCATTTATTTCGATTAATACGAGCGAAGAGCGACCATCGGCTGATATGAAGGCCCACACCATCACCATGGCCGGCGCTTGAGTTCTGGTGTTCAACCGAAGGTGCACATTTTCAGCTAACCTCTTTGGCAAGTAAACACAATCATTTTGTTTGGTTGCAAACTACCGGACAACGAATGTTTTCTCATCGGAGAAAACCAAATTCGGCAGTTCACCACTTTTGGCAAAACGAAGCAACTCTTTGGCTCTTTGGCTCTTTTGAGTCTATTTTCTTTCTTTTGCTTTTGTACGCCTGTAAACAATATAATGAGCTGTCAGTGGAATAATTTTAACCGCTGTCGGACGAGTGGCTTAGACATTACAATAGTCTGAATTTGGTTGCAGTTTTCATCTCACCCTGTATGATATCTATTTTTGGAAGCAAAAAATCTACACTTCCTCAGTATCTCAGAGAAGTCCAAATACCGCTCATATATCACCCACATCATTCATCAAAATATGACAAGATAATCATGTTCGTGGAAAAACCAATCCAACTCCATTAGCTAATCCCTGCATATAGAGAGGCCAAGAAGAGAGAGAGAGAAAAACGAAGGCAGAAAAATGGTCCTCAAGAAAACACTTAACATAAATTAATGTGCGGCAAAGACATTTGTGCGGAGGCTGGAACTTCAAAAATAAATTCAAATACTTTGCGATAATTGTGATAAGTATGAACGCACACAAAACATATATATGTCCTGAAGTTGTCTTGTATATCCAATACAAAGTTCAAATCAACAGTTTCCATGGAAGGGGGTGGTGGCAAACATTTGCAGCTAATGGGAAACAAAAAATACTATTCAAATCGAACTGCAAAATTTATCTCAAAGGGGGTATTTCATGACTTCAAAAATAATGCGGGTTGTGTGAGAAAGATTAAAAAACTGCGCAGAAAAAAATATTAATGACATTAAAAACTATATTTAGAAAAAAAATAAATTTTTTTTAATAAAATTTTCTATGTGTGGTTTATTCCTTTGTTTTAGAATAAGTCAGAGGAACAAAAAAAAAAAACACAAACAATAAACCACATCTATGTTAGGACATTGTAAGCAAATGAAAAAAAAAAATATTAAAAAAAAAAAATAATAAAATACGTGCAGCACAATGAATGCCTTTGTATAAATTACAAATAAATATCGTCACTATAATTTGTTTTTTTTATCTTTGTTGTTTTTTATAATTTTTTCTCTCCATTTTGTAGTTATTTTTTCTGTTGTTCTCGAAATTTCACGTCACAGATAAGACAAAGACCATAAAGTCGGGTATTTTTTTTTTTAATTTTTTTTTGCCAAGACCAACCATCCAACCACAATCTCCTCGTGCCGTCCTCTAAAGATTTTAATATCTGTGATAAAATTCCTACACATACGCATTTTTGGTTTGAATGTTTCATTTTATCTTTTTTTTTTTTCGTTTGTTTGTAAATACTGAAAAAATAGTTTGCCTTTTTTGGTCACAAAATTGTGGAGAAGAAACAAATGAATTGCCATAATTTCATAGATGTTCATAAGTTATGCGAGCCGTATGGAAGTTTTTTTGGATTCAATAATTCAAAAAATTTCCATAGATAGAAAATTTGCTATATAAGAGTTGTGGAAAAAATCCAAAAATCTAAATAATCTAGGGAATTATTATTCTAATCCCATGCTTATTTCTTATAATATACAGGGTGAGATAAAAAAACTGCAACAAAGACAAACGCCATAATTTTTACATATTTTTTTAAATTTTTTTTAAATGAAAGCAAAAATGTCGGAAATAACATCAAATTTTAGAAAAAGTTTGGATTTGTTCGAATTGGTCACCGTTGGCACGAATCATGGCCTTCAAACGGCCAATGAAATCGTAACTCGCTGCCCAAATGTTGCTCTGTGGTATCTTGGTCCATTCCCGGCGAAGCGCTTGTTTGAGGTGATCGACACTTTGGTATTTTTTAGTGCCAACCTTGCTTTCCAAAATACTCCAGACTCAATAGTCCAACGGATTGGTATCCGGTGATTTTGGGGGGCCATTGTGAGCTGGAAATGAAGCCAGCAACCTCATTTTGTAACCATTCTTGGTGACGCGTACTGAGTGCGATGGTACTGAGTCCTGTTGAAATGTCCAAGGTCTGCGGCTCAAGGCTTTAATACCCCCTCCAGAATATTTTCGCGATAATATTCGACATTTATTCTCATGCCACGGTGGATTAATACGAGCGGAGAGCGACAATCGGCCCACACCATCACCATGGCCGGCGCTTGAGTTCTGGTGGCCAACCGAAGGTGCACATTTTCAGCTTCAGCTTGTTTGTTTACAAACCGCTAGACAACGAATGTTTTCTCATCGGTGAAAACCAAATTCGGCAGTTCACCACTTTCGACCAAGCGAAGCAACTCTTTAGCTCTTTTGAGTCTATTTTCTTTCTGTTGCGGTGTAAGTTCTTACACTTTTGGGGATTTTAATGGCTTTACCCTGAGCTCATGTTTCAATATTTGCCGAATGGAATATTGCGATATGTTCAGTTCACGAGCCATTTTTCGGCTACTGCGACGCGGGTTTCGATCAAGTCGCTTCTTTACTTTTCGGACCATTTCTGCTAATGTTGCTGTTTTCTTCCGTCCACTTCCATGACGTCGGGCAATACTACCAGTATTACGGTAAGGAGCGATGGTACGGGACACAAAAGATTTATTCACATTTAAATGCTGGAGTGACCTGTCTATAGCCACTTGTGGTTTTCCAGTCAAATCACCACGCTAGAATTCCATCACGAATAATTTTTTCTTTCTGGAAAATTCTCACAAAAATGCTTTTGTACGCTTGTAAACAACATACTGAGCTGTCACTGGAATAATTTTAAGAGCTGCCGGACGAGTGGCTTAGAAATGACAGCAGTCATCTTCACAACAGATTTTGTGTCAGCAAAAATCTGTGTAAGTGTGAAATTTGAAGAGAGTTGGATGCTTATTTCGCTTTCTTTCAGCGTTTTGTTTGTTTAAAATATTGATCCCTATGTGGGGGAGGTACCAGAAGAAATGGTCCGATCTTGTGTTTATTTAAAATATGGAGATGTACCAAGCCTGAATGGAATCGGATAATATTTTTGCGTTTTATGAGTATCAGGAATATTCAAAATTTTGACCCTTTTGCGTGGGAGGTACCAAAGGAGTGGACTGATCTTCACCCCAGACCTCGGGCTAATACAGATATTGTTATCACAAGACAATCGGACTCTTAAATCATCCTCTCTCTCTCTCTGTGCATTAAATTATTTTCTTTTAAAATGTTGATATTTTGTGGGGGAGGTACCAGAAGGGAGTGGACCGATATTTCCCATTGCCCAAACTCGGTCTAAGTTTGAAAATAATATTACGATGTACCAAGTTTGTATCAAATCGACTTCTCCCTTGGAGGCTTATCGTGCTCACCAGCCAGCCAGACAGAGAGAAAACCGGCTCTAAATGCCCTTTGCTACTACAATTTACAATTTATCTTTACGAAGATCTCTATTCACGGTTTATTTTAGATATTTATAAGGAAACGAGAGATATGTGGCCCGTGAAGGTAACACTTGCCAGTTTTTAATACATTATTGCAATTTTCGTTTTTGTGCCCTCTCCTTGTCAAGTTTTCATGGCCAACATTAAGGCGTCGAAAAGTATGCAAACGTTGTATAAGGTGAAAAAAGTATATATGGCGCTCATTGTAAAATAATATTTCCTGAAAACATAGCTTGAATAGTGAATGAAAATTGGAATGTAGATGGCGCTGGCCATAACTTATATAAGCGTATCGAGGAGCTCTTCGAAATTAAATCTTCTACATATTAAGGCCCAATGTTGGTTTTTCTAAATGTCCTAAATTCAGATGTTTTTACAAGACGTTGGAAAACAGTGCAATACACCTAACTATTAATTAATGTTAAAATACAACTATAAATTATTAAAATATAATTAATTTGTATATATATTTTTTATTTCTTTTTAGGTAAGTTCCGAATTCCAACATTATGTTTTGTTTCCTGGAAATACTATTGTAAGTTATGATTATTAAGAACTTAAAGCCTTTTAACGTTACACATTAGTTGCCATGCCATGGGGGACATCCTTAAACCACCAAAAAACCTTGAGAATTATTAGCTCACACAAAAAAAGGAGTATTGACAACTATTTCAGCCTAGCTACAATCAAAGAAAAAACCTATCAACGAATCTTGACAAAAAGAAGAAACCCATAAAGCTATGCCCACACAGGCCCAAAACCAAGCATTTCATTAACCGAACACAAGCCAACACTTCAAAGTCAATTTTTAAGTCTTATTTATCTTTACTTCGTTTTCACATGTTTTTTTCGTTTCGCAGCACTGAGACTTTATCACAAAACCATGCCATAAAATATATTTAAAACCTACACTGGCTGGCATATCGGACAAAAAGGCGAAACCAAATTAAAAGACAACTTCAATTTATTGAAAATAACAAAAACCAAAAAAACAGGCAGCCGGCAAAAAAAGTACTTAAAACTCAATTCGCTTATATTTTTTTTCTCTCTTCTGGTTTTTGGCAAAGTACTTCCATGCCATATAATGGTTAAAACGCAATTGCAGGGGAAAAAAACTTAACGTAAAATTTACATTTTTTTTTGGCTTGAAACGAAAGAAAGTACTTGGCTTGAAATATAAACTCCACACAATTGTCGTGGAAGTCGGGTGGGTGTTTAAAAGGAAATTTGCGGAGGTTTTTTTTGTTTTTACACTTCACTGTAGTACTTTAAACTGAAGGCGTTATGAAAAATGAGGTCACATTTAAATGAACAAAAAAAATATTAAATAACATATTTTTGAAAATAATTGAGCAACAAAAAAAAAATTGGAAATATTGACAAGTTTTGAAATTGTTTTTAGACCTTTTCCAGATCTATTGGATAGAAGACCTTTCAGACGTCTTTGTCTACAGACATTTTACAGGTACACTCAAAGTCCTTCTATGAAAAGAAGCCAGATCTTTCATTTGAAGATGACTTTCCATAGGGGTTTCATAGATAAAAGAAATGCCACAGATCTTCTATTGGTGGAACTCTTGCCACAGTCTTCTATGAACAGAATACCCTCCACGATACATAGAAAACCTTTCAAGGGTCTTCTACCGTTAGGAGTACTTGCGCAAGTATACTAAGGTCTTCTATAGATAAAAGGATTTCTACAGATCCTGCATTTTTACGAATATTTTTCGAAATCCACCAAATCCTGGATTTTTAAAAGAATAGTATTTCAAGGGCTAGAAGACATTTTTTAAGAACATTTTAAAATTTAAAGAATATTTTTCAATGGATATACAGAATTCCGCAGATCTTAGATTTTTTAAAAACATTAATTTAAGGACTACCAGAACCTGGAATTTTTAAAGAATATTTTCCCAGGACCAACAGAACGGTGATTTTTTAAAGAATATTTTCTCAAGGACCAGCACCAGATCGGGAATGTTTTAAAGAATATGTTTTCTTTAACCAGCAGATTCTGGATTACCTTGTCAATTACATACATATTGTGCGTTTTTTAATGATTATTTTTCATGGATGCAGGATTTTTGAAGAATAATTTTATGGAGTAGCAGATCGTTGATTTCAGAAAAAAACATTCAATTACGACGGACCGCAGATCGAGAATTTTTTCAAGAATATTTATTTAAGGACCAACAGATTTTTTTCAAATCTGGTGGTTGATTTTTAAAGGCATAGTTTTTTAAGGGACATCGGTTCGTGCCTTTATTTAAAGAATATTTTTCCAAAATGATCTCCATTTCTTTTAATTTGTTTTTTCAAGGTTCTGCAAAAAGTAGATTATTTAAGGAACGTTTTTCAAGGTCGACCAGCAAATGTGGGATTTTTTTAAGAATTTTTCCAGCAGATCGTGCATTTTTTAAACAAACTTTTTTCAAGGCATACCAGATTTTAAAGAATATTTTTTTCATATTTTTAAAAAAATATTTTTTTTAAAAGGACCTACAGATCCTGATTTTTTTAAGAATATAATTTTTAAGGAACTGCATGTTTTAAAGAAACATTTTCAAAGACCAGCAGATTTTAATGACAATTTTTTCAATGATCGTCGGAGTTTATATCGAGATTTTTTTAGGGTTTTCTTAGGGACCAATATCTTTTCGACGATTAGCAGATTGTGGACTTAAAAAAATATGACATCGGATCGTGCCTTTATTTAAAGAATATTTTTCCAAAATGATCTCCATTTCTTTTAATTATTTTTTCCAAGGTTCTGCAAAAAGTAGATTATTTAAGGAACGTTTTTTCATGGCCGACTAGCAAATACGGGATTTTTTAAAGAATTTTTCCAGCAGATCGTGCATTTTTTAAACAAACTTTTTTCAAGGCATTGCATGTTTCTGAATATTTTAAAGAATATTTTTTTTTAAATTTTTATAAAAATAATTTTTTTTAAAGGAATATATTTTTAAGGAACTGCATTTTTTAAAGAAACATTTTCAAAGACCAGCAGATTTTAATGACTATTTTTTCAATGATCGTTGGAGTTTAAATCGAGATTTTTTATTGTTTTCTTTATGACCAATATCTTTTCGACGATTAGCAGATTGTGGACTTAAAAAAAATATGACATCGGATCGTGCCTTTATTTAAAGAATATTTTTCCAAAATGATCTCCATTTCTTTTAATTATTTTTTTCCAAGGTTCTGCAAAAAGTAGATTATTTAAGGAACGTTTTTTCATGGTCGACTAGCAAATACGGGATTTTTTAAAGAATTTTTTTTTTCAGAAGATCGTGCATTTTTTAAACAAACTTTTTTCAAGGCATTGAATGTTTCTGAATATTTTAAAGAATATTTTTTTTAAATTTTTATAAAAATAATTTTTTTTAAAGGAATATATTTTTAAGGAACTGCATTTTTTAAAGAAACATTTTCAAAGACCAGCAGATTTTAATGACTATTTTGTCAATGATCGTCGGAGTTTAAATCGGCATTTTTTATGGTTTTCTTAGGGACCAATATATCGACGATTAGCAGACTGTGGACTTAAAAAATATATGTAGGGTGAGATAAAAAAAACTGCAACAAAGTCAAACGGCACAATTTTTACACTTTTTTTTTAATTTTATTGAATGAAAGCAAAAAATTTCATAAATAGCATCAAATATTAGAATAAGTTTAGATTTGTTCGAATTGGTCAGTAAAATTGGCCAATGAAACCGTTACACGCTGCCCTAATGTTGCTCTACGGTATTGTGGCCCATTCCCGGCGAAGCGCTTGCTTGAAGTGATGGACACTTTGGTATTTTTTAGTGCCAACCTTGCTTTCCAAAATACTCCAGACACAATAGTCCAACGGATTGGTATCCGGAGATTTTGGTGGCCATTGTGCTCTGGAAATGAAGCGAGGAACCTCATTTTGTAACCTTTCATGGTTGGCACGTGCTGAGTGCGCGTTGAAATGTCCAAGGTCTGTGGCCAAAATGTTTGCGTACCCAAAGTTCCAAACTATTTTCGCGATAATATTCGGCATTAATTCTGGTTTAATACGAGTGGAGAGCGACCATCGGCTGTTATGGCGGCCCACACCATCACCATGGCCGGCGCTTGAGTTCTGGTGGTCAACCGAAGGTGCACATTTTCAGTTGACCTCTTTGGCAAGTAAACACGATCATTTTATTTGTTTACAAACTGCCAGACAACGAATGTTTTCTCATCGGAGAAACATAAATTCGGCAGTTCACCACTTTCGGCCAAGCGAAGACTCTTTTGAGTCTATTTTCTTTCTGTTGCGGTGTAAGTTCTTGCACTTTTTGGAATTTCAATGGACTTACCCCGAGCTCATTTTTCAATATTTGTCGAATGAAATATTGCGATATGTTCAGCTCATGAGTCATTCTTCGGCCATAGCGACGCGGGTTTCGATCAAGTCGCTTCTTTACTTTTCATACCATTTCTGTTGATGTTGCTGTTTTCTTCCGTCCACTTCCTTGACTTCGGGCTACGCTACCAGTATCACGGTAACTAGCGATGGTACGAGGCACATTTAAATTCTGGAATACTCTATCGTCTATTGTTGTTTTCCAGCCAAATATAAAGAAGTCACACTATCACACTTGAATTCCATCACGAATAACTTTTTTTCTGGAAAATTCGTACCAAAATGCTTTTGTACCCTTGTAAACAATATAATGAGCTGTCATTGGAATTATTTTAACAGCTGTCGGACGAGTGGCTTAAAAATGGCAGTAGTCTGAAGTTAGTTGTAGTTTTTTCATCTCACCCTGCATTCCTTGTTTTTTACGAAAATAATTGTATATCCTCCATTAAACCCTTTAAAATTGACTGTTATTCCTTTTCAAATTTTGTCATTCCATTGTCACTAAATTTCACATTAATTTCAATTCATTTCCTCGCCACCAAAAAACACCTGGCCCAGAGATTAGTTAAACAATTAAGGATTACGACTTCAGGTTCAAACTGCATTTGAAAATAAATAAGGGTCAAGTTATTACTTGTCGTCTTTGCACTCTGGCACAAAAAAAATCGCAAAAAATCAACCTGGCTGATATCAAGTAACCAAAAAAAAGGCAAAATGAAATGAGGGTGAAAAACATATGAAACCATTACGCTTTTTATTTTTGCCTTTTCATTTATTTCTCATGTCTAATAAGCCGGTGTTTCTTTCACGAAACCACCGCTCTCCCTCCCTCTCCACTATGGCAAAATGAGCAAAATTGTGTGGTTGTTGGTTTGTTCTACAAAGTATTGACATAAAAGTCACAAGTCCAGCACGTGCCAATATTGGTTGTGCAAAAAAAAAGAATGAAATTACCCTCAGAACGTTTTTGAGTTCCTTCTTCGACTGCCACCATCCAATTTACGTTTGCCTTAATTTTCGAAAATATGTTTTGTTTAAAAGCAAATTTGGTAGAGTGCTTTAGGTTTATATGTTGTGACCTTAAATATGTTGAAATTCGATTAGGGTAGCTGACGGAATGAAATGCCAAAACATAAGAACAAAAATTAAAAAAAAAAAAAAAAAAACCATAGGGGTTCTTCCCTTAGCAGCACATACGCCATACGGAGGTAATTGTTTCGATTCCAACTCTCTAAGGACTAATTTAAAAGGCCAGGAACCAAACACAAAGATTATTATCATTATTGACTTTAAATGAATTAACAATTTTCCTTACATGCATACATGCATGTATGGATTACAAACATGGCAGGTGGGAAATTTGGAATGAAAAACAATTTTCTATAAAGGCAACTTGAAATAAAGTTTTTAATTAAGGAAAACATTATTGTTTCCTTTTTAAGTTTTTTTTTTTTTTTTGGAAAAAAATTAAAATTTTTGCAATATTTCTTTTCACTTTTTGCCTCAAATCCGCCTAAAAAAAATACCCTTCTATTCTTAGATCTACAACCTTAGCCGCATGAAATAAGGGGTTTACCCTAACCCCATTTATAGAAATGTTTTTTTTTTTTTTTTTTTTTTTTATATATTTACATTTCGCTTGAAATTCCCGTTCTACGTTTGCTGCTTTGGGAATTACCCAAAGCAAAAATATCTCTGAAGGGAATGGCAGAAGAGAAAAAAAAAAGAAAGCACACGGGCTAAACCAAATCTCCTCACATTAGCAAATTAATCCAATGATTTAAATTGAATAGTTTTGTGTTTCTCCCGCCTTTCTTCCCTTTTACCGCCAACAACAAAGAACAACAAAGGGCACCGACCAACCAGCCAGTTGGACGTAAGTAATGGTTTTAATCTAATCAGAATAGGGAAGAAAAGAAAAGTTGAACGATTTTCATTGTTGGCCATTTTGTTATGGGTGTTTTTAAGGTTTCTTCTATGAATTGTAGTGGCCAGAGAATAGTTTGGGAGGAAGTCCTGAAAATCCTTAATCATTCCTTATTGATTCAGGACATTCTGCATTTTTTTTTGCAAAGATCTTCGTAGACTTCTAGAAACTACTTTAAACAATTTTCAAAGCCTTTAGATCGTCGATTTTCTTTTAGCTTTTTTTAGCAGGTCGTGAATTTTTTAAAAAGTCGCATTAATGCGGATTTCTTTTTTAAATATGTTTCAAGGACCAGCAGATCGTAGATTTAGCCTCTTGGATATTTTTAGGAATATATATTTTTAAAAAAAATATTTAAGGAATATTTTTAAGGACCATGATGGATTTAAATGCATATTCGCAAGAACCGTCCGCTCGTGGATTTTCAACAATAGTTATTGTATTTTTAAAGAACTTTTAGATGGTGGATTTTTTTTTTTTGGTATATATATTTAAGATCTATCAGTTGTTGTTTTTTTTTTTTACAGAATATATTTTTTAAGGCCACTTAAAGTTAACATTCTGACGTCTTA